ACAAAGAAAAATTAAAAGTTGTTACAATAAACATCTTTATGTAAAAGTGGCAAACAGAATGTATTGCTTCCTAAAAGACTAAGCTCATTCAAATGCTTCTACAAATTACAGCAATTATGCTAAAAATCATTACATCATTGAAAATGGTAAAAGATCTCAAATCTAGAAGTTGAAATTGCTGACACAATTCTTGCAGTATATGGCTTTCTTTCTTGGAAACTTACAAATGATATCGTGTAATTGGGTTGGAGTTTAAAAGAAATAATGCACTACCTTTTCAGAAGGAAGCCAAGAAGGATCCATGTCAGAAGATGCTGTCAATGTACCTTTCCCCTAAAAGGCAAAGTACTCAATTTAGATAGAAAGAGGTTCACTGTTCTTTCTTAAGAAGTTAGCTTTGGGTCTATGGTAGTTGCTCAAAGACTCATCTTTCAACAAAGTTTAGCCTTTTAGTGATTTCAATTGGAATATCTTACTAACATCATTTAATATCATGGCTCTTATTAAGATGCTCAAAAAAAGTCTAATAGAAAAAGATTGGTTAGAAGGACAAAATGAATCACCTCTTCAAAAGGAAGCTGGGAAGAATCCAAATCTATAGCACTTGATGCAAATTGCTCCTGAAAAGTAAAGTAATCAAATATTAATCAAATTCTATTCGTTGTCATGGAGAGCTGATAATATGATTTAGATTGTCATAGACCTACCTCTTGCTGAGTAGAAGAATTGGATACTGCCTCACTTGCTAAGGAGAGACTCGTCTGCATAGAAGAATCCGATTAATTGCACAATTTTAATAGACAAATATTTTTTTCGCATAATGTCTAATGGCATGGATATCTACCTCTCTTTGTGATGAAGATTCCATGGAAGAAGCACTTTCAGGGCATTTGTTTCCCTGCATTGGGAAATTACATTAATATTTCAAGAGATACAACGAAACATTGAGAAATAAGTGCTCAATGCTTCTAGTCACTCACTTAACAACATCTATAGGAATACTCCACACAGCATTGTGAGAGGTTTGTTTACTAATATGTTAATTTTATTTTCAATAAACATTTTGCATAGTACTTTGTGAATAATATTTATAATTAAATACTCCTTATTGAGGAATAAAATGAACTTTTTAGCTAATACTTCGAGATATACTGTAATCTGAAAATGTTCTTCTGAAAAAATCAGAAATGAAAATGACTGCAGACCAAATGGAAAAAAAGCCATACCAGTTTTGACTTCTTCAATTGAATAGTATCATCAAACAGTTTCCTGAACATCCAAAACAGTACTTCCACATATTAGCATTCAAGCCAATCATCAGTATCAGATAGTATACATAATGTACTAATCTTAATCACAGACCTTCCTTTCACTTCGAATGATACATCTTTGTCCTTCTTCATAGACATGTGCAATTTTGACCCAGCTGTTTTTTCCCCAGAAACTGAAGCGCTCATGGGTTTCACAACCCTAGGAGACACCATATTTGATCTCGTATTAAATTTGGAAGCTGATTTCATTACTTGTGGAGACGACATCCCGCTTGTCTTGTTAACAATTCTACTGCTCTTTCCAGGATCTAAACAAGCCAAAAAGCCTGCCATGCATGATCGAGAGGCCAAGCTGATTGTTTGAACAGTTTCCTGGCAAAGAGAGGGATTCTGCAGAAAACATTATCACCATTCATCAGTTCACCACTATGTTAAGGTTCAGTTTAGCCACTTCAGAGAAAGTGCAAGCCTGCCAAGCCATGGACATAAAGAAACTTACCATACAGGAAATCATCAAAATCTTACTTGTACCCCCAAGGGAGTCCTGCAGCATCCGAGTCAACTTACTTTCCCTGTAAGGTACACGGGCATCTTTTGCATTCAGGGCATATAGAACATTGTGCACAGTGTAGAGGGATTTGTTTATCCTAGTGGCTTCGGTCAAGTTGAAGCCATCAATACTCTTTCTTCTAGAATCTTCATAGCCTGTTCAGTTAAAATTAATTTTTAGAAAACAAAACATACATTGAATGTTATGAAAATGGACAAAACATTGAGTAGAAGGACATACTTGCCAAATCGACAAAATTGATCTTGCCCACCAGTTGAGCACATGATTTGTCAGTTTGAGGTGACACAACATGGACAATGCAGCCTGTGTGGTATCGATGAGGAGGCTCTGTCATCTTCTGCAATTCTTTACGAGCATTTGCAGCCTGCAAATACAATCTTTGAAATTCTGAAGTAGAATTCACCTTGACCTGAAAAGGATAAAGAAAACATACAAAATTGTAACCAAGAGTGTAAAAGAAGTGGAAATTTTACATTCAACACCATTAGTGTAACCTTCTCAAACTTTACCTTAGATAGTCCCTTGAGTCTAATCTTGCCATGGCCATCCTCAAATATTGCAACCTCTGGTCTTTTGGTGTCTAACATATCCGAAACTCGGTCCTGGTACACCTCAAATACAGAAATGGTGACAATTTTTCCTTGTTCTTCTGCTAGAGGCAAAATAGCATCCACTGCAAGCACTGCCAATCCCAGTTCTTCCTCATATCCCTACACACATAACAAGCATACAAAAATCAAGCACATCAGAATTCCGCTTCTGAGGAGTTCCAAACTAAGTGACAGCACTAATAACCCAAACCTGAATGGTGTAAGTCTTGCCACTTTCCCGTGGTCCATAAGCGAAAACCGTGCTATTCTGACCTCCAAACAATCCAGAGATTAAGGGTTTAATCTCCTTGATAAAAATCTCCTCATTGCCCACATCTTGCTCATAACAGTCATCTATTTCACAACTCTGCTTACCACTGTCCAATTCCCAAAAGTTAATCAATAACTAAACTACATTAACCAAATCCTAAGCAACTACGATAATTATGCATGTATATTCTCATATTTACACAGAAATTGGGTAAACTGAATTCAGGAAAAAGATTGAACCCAATAACAGCCTTCAACGAAACAAATCACTTAGCCACCCATTGAAACTAAATTCACAAACAAAATTATCAAATAAATTCTACACTACATCATAATTTTCCAATCCTCCAATATGATAGACAATAATTGGAATTGCCATTATCCTAAAAAAGCATTACTATATAAGTTAGATTACATTTATTTTCCGGACATCATAAAGACATAAAATAGTACTCCGTATTTCTGTATTACTACACAGAATTAAATGAATCAGAAAATTCGAGCAACAAAAATACAAATTGAGTAGCAAACTAAAAAAATTATACCAAGCACAAATAATTACAACACTCAAGAAATCACCAGCCAAAACAACCCAAATTAGAGAATAATCAAGAATTGAACTCACAAAAAATTGAGAAATTTACCTAGAAATTTTATCTGACCCAAAAGAGATTTTCACTCTAATTGGGTGTGAATTCGTGTCGGGTCTCAAAACCGAAATCCAAGGCTTAGAAATTGAAATCCCATCAATATTATCACCATATTTGTTTGATTGAGCCCTAATTCGAGCAACAATTCTTACTTTAGGGTTTGAACTCATTTTTTTTTACAGAAAATTGGTTAAGAAAGTGAGAGAAATACTAATTGTTGAGTGGATTTGAAGGGTAAAGAAGAGGGAGAAAAAGCGAAGATTTTAAACAGAATTGATAAGAGTGAAGAAGTAGCCGTTGTAATTGAAAATTGATGAATTTTGGTGTAGCGCTCCTCTGATGTTATTTGAATCGTACACTGCAAGCTTTTGAAGACCCTAAGCGCCTTACTAGGATGATGTTATATTTGAGTAATGAGTTATTCGGTTTGGCTAACGTTTAAGTCATATTTGGCATTTGGTCGGGTTCAGATCTATTAAAATAAGTCATAAGCTAACAACTTAAATAATCCTATTAAAAAAAGGGGGAAAAAAAAAACATAAACAAAAACTATCAAGTTTTTCAAACAATAATCTTGTTTTTAGAGTATCATTTTTCATATGTACCTATCAAGATTTTTTAATGAATTTTTTTCAAATTCAAGTAATAGGATAGTTATAATACTAACTCTATTAATGGTTGAGTGCAATTTTGGGGTATTATTTGTGAGACATATAAAATTTCAAAGCTGCAGACAACCATTGATGGAGGTAGTATATAAATTATAATTGATTGCAAAAAAAAATCACAATTAGTCCCATTTTAAATTCGAGACCCGCTAGACCTAGTGGATTTGGGTCTGATATATTTAGAATTTTAGACCCAAAAGTTCTAAGTTGGATTTGAATCCACCTCTAAAAAATCTGAGTCTAGATCTTAATCTCGTCAGACTCGGCCCAAATTTGACTATTGTCATTCTTAGGGCTAACCCTTTAGGCTTGTTTGATTCACCTTATTTTTGCACTAATTTAATTGTTTGATTTGTCCAAACTTTGACTTAAATGTACGATAATCTATAAAGAAAAAATGTATCAAATGGAGTTTGTTAGATTCGTAATAATGTGTATTTTAATAATAAGTAATTTTATTTATTTATCCATTACAAAATTAAAGATACTTAGCGATAAAAGTCAGTACATAAAATGATAATTTGATCTGAAGTTATTTTTTCTTAAATAAATAAAAATAAGTTAAACAAAACAAGACCTTACTTGAATAGTTTACTACAACATCTTCTCTAGACACATTTCAAAGTGAACCATGAAATTTTGTGTTCTCTGCATTTGTTTATCTTTCTTCCGTCTATTACAATAATTTGAATCAAAGACGTGGTAATTGATTTCACTTAAGATTTAAGAGCACGGTTCTCTGCATTCGTTTATCTTTCTTGCATCTGTTACAATAATTTGAATCAAAGACGTGGTAATTGATTTCACTTAAGATTTAAGAGCACTCGAATCAGTAGGTGTCCTCTCAAACAATAGTCCTCTTAAGGGAGAATAATAGCCCCTTATGAACATCATCAACTGTCTCAAGTGCATCCAAGGCCTAAATGCAAAGTGAATGTTATATTTGTCTATTTATAGTTTAAGGAGCAAGGGCTAACAAGTGCAAAGAAAAGGTGACACTCACATAATTCATTGGCCTCTTCAGTCCAATCTAACATTAAAGAAAATTGACGAAATAGTTTGAAGGAACAAAATAGGAAGTTACTGCGTTTCATAACTCAAACTACAAAAAAGCGTACAAAAGTTACAACCAATTAGTCTAATTTGGTTTAATTAATTGAAACCAAAACTTCTTCCCGGAAATGAAAATATTACTGATTTAGAAACCTTGGGACAAAATTACTCAGATGGCTTAAGTATCACGGTTCACGAATCAACGAGCCCCACGATTAAGGCTGACCATACGGGCCGAAGAATCAGTGTGTTGTCCTCGCGATGCACGCCCATAAGAGCCTGCCCCTCTAGCATGACCACCTTGGTCTCTTGAATATCCTCCAGCAGAAAACTGTCCAGGATTCATTGCCTTTCCGCCATATCCTGAACGCCCACCTGACCTTCCTTGAGAATAAGAGTTGTCATGCCACCTACCACCACCAGAAGAGGCAACCGCAGCATAATCTGGTCCATCTCTCCTCCTAGGAGGCAAACCATCCAATGAACCACCACCCAACTTGGCCTCCATAGCGCGCTCATTATTTTCTGCATAGAAAGACAGCTTCTCGGTCAATTGGAAAGCAAGAGCCTGCAATCTAGTGTGCTCAACCTCATGGAAGATGATGCATCGAGTAGGCTGGTCCCATGAAGCACGCAGCTCCTCATTAACCATCATCTTACTCACGATGCTGTGTATCTGTGGCTCAGAGAGCTCAAACATCTTAGACAGCTGTTCAAGGCTCAGAGAACTGTAAGAAACAGCATAAGTAAAAAGGTATGTCCTAAGGGCAGCTTCTTTGATCTTGGATTTCAGCATTTCAAAGACACCCTCTTTGTTTTTCAGTAGCTTCCACACATCCAGAGATGTAATAACATCAAAGGCCTTTTGAAAGTCTCCTTGAGTGAGTCCTCTAGTAGCAGCCATAGCATGATCCCTGACATTTTCAGGGGGGCCTCTAAGTGTTTGCCTCTCACTAGCTTCAAGCAATCTCCTGAATGTCTTGCTTATGACTCGACGCTGTGATTCGAAGGTGTTGGCAGCCATATAAGGGACCTCCAACAGCATGGCACAAGTCAGATGAACTGCCTCCAAGAGTTCCAAATTGATGTGCATGTGGTATGGCATCTGTTGTCTTCTTTCTTTCATCTCCTGATAAAAGTAAAAATTACCAGAGTGAGATTCATAAACGAGTAAAGACAAGAATTTAAATTAACTAAATGTTGTTGCATTATGGTATCATATTGCATTTTTGAAGACAGGAAGATGATTAACAATTTCTTTCTCTATTTCATCCAAAATTTGTTTCCACAAGACAGCACTTTTATGATATCATATTGCATTCTTGGAGACAAGAAGAGGATTAACAGTTTCTTTCTTTATTTCATCCAAAATTTGTTTCCACAAGACAGCACTTTTATGGGATGTCTCCTTTGTTTTTAAAAGCAAAGATAAGTCTTTCAAAAGCACATCCACACCACAACACTTGGTCACAACCCACTGCAAAGTAATTCCAGTTTTTACATATCCAAATTGACAGTTCTGCACACGACATTTGCAGTATGATATCCACGAATTTCGTACATTCTACTTTTATGCAAAGCAGTTTATACAAAAATTGTGATTGGACGCAAATATAGTTCAAGTCCCAGTATTAGCCAAAAGACAAACTTTGAAAAAAGGTGGGTTACAACAGCAAAACAACTTACAAATATATATATAGAAGAGTCCAATGAGCCTAGATCAATTGGATTTAACAGAAAAAAAAATATATAAATAGGGTAGTCAACAATCCCTTCTTCAATCACATGGGACAACAACCAGCATTTCTTTGCAACTTAACAGTTATCACAGGGCACTAGGGATGTTCACGAAAATATCTGCTTTCAACTCAGCAATATTGAATTTACCAAATTAGACAAGAGATAAATTTAGGCATCGAACTGAATCAGAAATTTTTCCTACAACAGAAAGGAAGCTGCTGCAAATATCAGATCCAATTACCATACCCTCGAAATTTTTAGTAAAATGTGCAATCAAAAGATGAGAAAAATGACTGGATAACAGTCGCACAACTAAACACACATACCTGTTCAGGAGTCTTCTCATGGTAACGACTTTGAGAGAAACCTTGTGCAAGCAGCTCTCTCACTCTTCCAGCTGAATATAATTCAGAAAGGCAACTGTGCCCTTCTGAAATCAGACCAATTCTGAAAGCACATAATCCAAGCTGAGCCATAGCTCTATTGAACAATATCTGGGTTGAAATATCCATATGTTGTATTGTGTCTTGTAAATGACTCATCAACAATAAGTCACGAGCAATTGAAAATTCATCCATAAGGGCATGGTGGTAAATGTCACATAGCATAGCACGAGCCTTTGTTCTCTCATCTCCAAATTGATAAATGAGAGAAACTAAGCTATCCATCAAGACCCTGCTGCGCTCTGGAAAAGTAGATTTCCGAGGCACAAGCTCAGGTGTTGTCACAAACAAAGAGGGATTCTTACCTACACCAGCCCCCTTGGGTTCCTCACCTGCAGCTTCATCATTCTCCTCTTCTGTTTGTTCAGCCAATTTCCTCATTGCCTCATAAACTTCTTGAGGCTTATAGTACACAAATTCAACACGTCTCAGGGCTACTTTCGCAGCTGCCTTCAGATTTCCACTTTTCTCCAAGTATTCTTGGACATTTTGTGCCAGGACCAAAAACAAAGGCTCATCTCTGAGTCTTTCAACAAATTCACGAGTATAAGGATCTATACATTGCAAGCTCTTGAAAAACTCAATATCTATCCTCTCAAGGAAGGCTACCAAGTTTCCCCATACTCGGATGGTACCATTATGTTCTGGACCCTTTTGGGTTTCATTCTCATCAGGCTCCACAGAATCATCCACCAAAATGTTTGGATACTGAGTGAGAATATCAAGTATAACAAACATATTCTGCACACATTTCTTCCACACATTAATCGGCATGTGTCCACTGAGACTAGGATTGATATCAAATTGAGCAGAAACAACACTGAAAAGGATCTCCAGCTTCTGAGCTGGTGTCTTCGCAATCCTGGTCAAAAAGGTAAGCCGCTCAACAAGCTCAATTTTCCCAGTTCCCTTCCTACCACGTCCAGCAACAATTTCCTTGACTTTTTTGTTCACTGTATCCCAAGTGATCTCACTAGGGTTTTTCAGTAACTTCATATCGATAAGCTTATTATTCTTCCCTGTCTTTTGCCACTCGTCATCCTCATCTTCAGCATCATCCTCCCTTGCTTCATCCTCTTTGTCGGACTCTTCAGCTTCTGACTCAGATTCTTCAGCTTCTGATTCAGTTTCCTCTTCAGATTCCTCTTTCTCCCCATCATCTTCAGACTCAGGATTCTCCCTAAACTTGTTGATCAGATCTTCATATTGCTTATTGTTCTTCTTTAGATTCTGCTTCATTTTATTCAATGCCTTCGCATTGCTGCTGCTCATCTTCTTCTTAGCCTCCTTATTCGACAAGGTCTCAAGCAGAAAATCCTCCAACAACACAAGAGCCTTTATATAGACATTGGGAACCTTACCAGCCTCCGCCACACGCATAACTTTTTCGAGCTGTTTATTAATCTTATCATAGCTCTCCTGTAGGCTCACCCAGTCATTGATCTTCATAGCATTCTTCATCTGCTCAACGGTAGCAGACATCTCCTGGAACCGCTTATCCTTGGCCGAAACGACAACTCGCTTTTGGTCATCAGAATCATCACTGTCACTATCATTGGTCTTTAAATACTTGTTTTCACCACCCCCAACTCGAGTTTCGGGTTCATCAGCAACAATCTCATCAACATCATCATAATCACTCTCCTCCTCCTCGGTGTCACTATTACCCTACAAATTGACAAAAAGATACATTTTTTATTGATGTTCTTTACATAATGGATTGCAAATCAAATGAAAATATCAGCACATTGACGGAATACAAACCTGAGTCCAAAAACGCGAACCCATTTTTCTTCCTTTTCACAATTTCAACAGCTTCTGATTATCTCAATCTACAAATTGGGAGAAAATTCATGTATTAAAAACTAAGCTCAGAAGAAATTTAACAAAATTATAACCCAAAAATTCTTATCAAAGCATTCAAAATCTCAGATCGAGTGAGAAAAACATCATCTTTATAATTCATCCTAACATCAAATTAAAGGGTTCTGAAACACATTAAAAACCAAATTTGATTCAATAATAATTCTAGTAAAAGAATATGAACAGAAAAATTCTAACTTTACAAGAATTGAATTATAACCAACAGTGCAATAATCAATCCACCTTGAACGAACCCTAATTTGAATAAAAATTAACGAATAACAGTAGATAGTGAAATCGATATTCGGTGATTAGAAGAAAAAACAACATCTTACCAGAGAAGCTGCGGGGTATGGTAGATTGAATGAAGAGAAGACGATGTTGGATGCTTTCTGTGTGTATTGCAAAGCAGCTTGTAGCGGGACGACGGCTGCTCAATATATGCTAGGTTAAAAGACTTACTATAGGTAGGAAACTAAGCCAAATTAGAAATCAATCGAATAATACAATTGTGTACTACTTTTTTTTTTCTTTTTTTTTTTTTTTTGGAATAGCAATTGTGTACTACTTGTGTGTACTTCCTCCGTCTCATGCGAAATATTACATAAAACGTTACTTTTTATGTATTCATGTACTAACTTTGGTCATGATTTTTTTTCTAATTAATCAAAACATATTTTATTTACTACAGTATAAAATATACTACGAGTATTAAATAGATATTTATATAAAGTTTTATAATATATTTTTTAAAATAATTTTTATTAATATTTAATTATATAAACATAAAGTCAAACTAGTGTATTGACATGTGTGCAAGGTTAATTGTGTCATGTATTCTGGGTAGCGATGGCAATTTAGGTCAGCGGGTCGAATTCGAGTCAGATTTCAGGTCGATTATGAGAAACTATCAAAAATATAGTATGAAAATTAATATTATTACGGAATATGAAATTGGGTCAAATTCAGATTATTCAGTTCGGGTCGGGTTTGGATTTTTCTCAGTAACTTCGGGTCGGATTCGGGTCGGGTCATGGATTGCCATTTGTTATCCCTAATTCTGTGTCAGAGGGAGTACCATTTATTTTTCCACTGTAAAAAAATAAAATAAGAAAATCATTTTTAACATTAATACTCTTTAATAGGAATAAGTGGTCAAAGTGGATATTTATTTTTATCCTGAAATAACAAAGATCATAACATATATCATAAAGCCCCCTCAAGTTACAATATGAAGCCATGAAGGTCTCGTATACGTAGCTTGTGAAAGGTGCATTGAAAACTATGGAGTATCACGAATGTTGGTAAAAATGTCCACTAATTGATCACCACTTTGAATGTAGGATGTAGCAAATAGCAAAGTTGCCTAGATTAATTTTAATCTAACAAAATGGCAACTAGTAACCTTGATATATTTCATACTTTTGTGAAACATAAAATTAGCCACAAAAGACATAACCAGTTTTCCACTTGAATATCACATTTTAGCCTCGTAAGAATAGTCACATCTTACATCGAGACAAGACAAAACAAATTTCAGCAATTAACATTCACAAGTAACAATAGCTATTGAGTGGTATTTTGCTTCAGTGAACGAGTGAGAAACCATCGGTTGTTTCTCCGTTTCCAAGGGATGGAAAAGGATCTAAAAAGCTCAAATTAACTTGTAAAAAACAGTCGTGTTAACACAACATGCTGAATCACTACCACAAAATCCATTATATTTTGTAATTGTACTCACAATGTAGAAAAAAAAATACTTAGACTCGTAATCATTTTGAGATTTTGGAAAACACAAAGGCTACCTCCCTAACCATGAAATTTGACATAAATTAAGCCAACACATATATCGAATAAGTTGGGGTTGAGTAAACCTCAAATATACTAAACGCTCAACAAGTCACATATACTTCTTAGGTTATGAAACACAACTCTCCTTCGACACTAGTCAAATGATGATCTTGCTTCATCTGACTTGAAATCGAGCTTATACCTAGTTGCAATTCTATTGTCTTAGTGATAAGTCACCAAGACCAAAAGTCACTTCAACGGCCAAAAAGGACTTGAGAACCCCAAAATCTTTCAAATGAAAACAATCACTAAAATATGTACTTGTACAACTATTTATAGCAACGCCTCAGATAGAATGAACCAAATGCGCGATTAATCCAACTTGGACCGGACACAACTCACCCGTCCCAAAAGACCAAACTAACCCGTTTCAAGCTGACTTGACATGAACCGACCTATCAGTCTATCACCAATCAACCAACTCAACTTAAACTGAAACCAAAATTTTGTGTTTTTTGAAGGAACATCCTTTCTTTGTAGTCAGCTTATGAAAATAACATTCTTTGATTGGACTGAACATTAAACTAGCTTTTTGGTCCAAGGTAACCCTTTTTTGTTTGCATTGGGCTGAATTCATGATACCCATCTATTCTGTGCCAACCAAGATATACAAAAGGCCCACTATTAATACGCTATAATCTTTTTTCTTTTTTGTTTTCAATCCTTTCTAGTTTTGGGCATTTTCTTTTTTCGTCCATATGTTGCAAGCTACGGAGTATTAGTCCATTGCAATGGTGAATCTTGGACCAAAATTAAGGGATCAAGATTTGAACATTTAGGCGATTTAGCCTCTATTTATATTTACTGATCGTGAATTATTATAACACTTCTTGTTCCTATTAAAAAAAATAATAATAATAAAAACGAAAATAAAATCATAACACTTCTTGTTATACCTGTATACAAAAGTATACTTCGTATAAGATAATAAACTACTATGTATTTATATTTAAAATTAATAGGGAGGAAAGTCACTATGAGCCATTGAGCCTCAATGAAAATCCTTCTCTTAGTTCTCTAAGTGCACAAAATTAACAATGTCCATATGATGAAAACGACGATATACAAAGTATAAGATATCGTTGAGTTGCACGACACACATTGGGCTTTTAGTTTATACTTGACTACTTGTATTTAGTCTTTATACTTCCCAATTACTAGAGGGATTATTTAGGAATTTTGAGAAAGATTTTAAAGAACAGGCCTAAAAAAATATAACCTTTTTTTTTTTTTTGAATAGTAAAAAAAAATAAATAAAATAAAATAAAAAAAGTATAACCTATGTATAAGGAATTAGCCACATAACTCTATTCTTTGGTATGATAGGTTTCTAATATTGGTAAGTAAGAATAGACCAAAAATAGTAAAAGTTAAAGTTGGATCCATTTTTTTAAAAAAATTATTTTAAAAAAAAAAAAAAAACCCAATAAATCATACTCCGTAATAAACAGATTAAATTTAACTTTATTGTTAGCTACTTAGCATGCATCATTGCTCATCAAGTGGAATGAGTATAATTATATACCAAGTAAGGTTTGGCGGCCTAATTAATAATAAGGATTTGATCTCGTGACTTAAAGGTTATGGAATCAAATCTCACTAAATAGGCACTCTTTATTTGATGATGGAAATTTTCTTATCTCTTCTTTTCATTATCTACGACACTGACCAATAGCTTGACATGTAAAGTCAAATTGAATTAACCTTTGAGAGGTACCAATTAATTCAATAGGCTCATTTTGCTTATCTAAAAAGACAAAGTTAAAGGAAAAAATATAGGGAAGAAGACTAGAAGAGGGGAGTGAGTATAAATGATGGGAACACAAAGATAGAAAAATCTTGCCCTTTTCCCACGGTATATAATTGTGTGAAATGTAATGGAATGAAATTTCAACAAGTATTATAAAAAGGGGCCCCTTTTTTGCACCCATGATGGGTAACACATGTGAGAAGTAAGGCAGTCCAAAACGCACAATACAAACCTCCATTATTATTTATATTATTAATTTTATTATCATTAACAAGACTAATATGAATTGGACTAGTACCTACATTTTATAGAAATTATTAAAAGCCAAATTCTCAAGATATGCAAAAGATCTCATCTGTCCTTTCCTCCTAAATTAGGTCCGAGATTGAATTGAATTGGAAACTTGAGATGATGACAGCTTAGGGTTTCTTTTTTGGAAGGAGGAGGTTGGTTTATAAGAACATGTACAAAATCAATAGAGTTTTAGCATGCATGGTTGTTTTAAGAAAATTGGTTGTCTTTTTTTTTCATGACAAGATCTAATACATACATGCGTGCTTCAATAATTTCAAAAAAAAAAATACATGACAACTCATGATATATTGACATGTGTAATAGTAATTATTTTATTTAATATGCATATAAAATACTCTATATTATATCAATGACATTTTAGGTATTTTAGACAGATATTAAATTGATAAAAAAAAAATACTATATTAAATTAATAAAAAAATTGTATTATAGAGATGAGATATATACTCGGATCAAACATCAATTACATTATATTAAAGGCGAAACTTAGAGAACACTTGGCAAAATATTGTAAAATGTTTTCCCTCAAAAACCACTTACCAAAAAAACTCATTGTAATTAAATTATGACTTTTAGTTTGTATAAAATCTAAAATAATGTCCTTTAATATCAAATTGCCCATTATAACTATTATATGTTTAATTAATTTCTTTCACAATATTTCATACTTTTTACTACTAAGTCTATTTATAATATTTATATCCATTATTTTTGGTAAAATTTATTGTCATTAGAATTATTTAACAATCGTGCATTGCACGGGATTTAATCTAGTAACAAACTAATCATAATTAGGAAAAATAATGAATGATATGTATTATGTGAAGAGTAATGCTATATGCAGCCCTTATATACTTTCTTTTTTAATATTAAGTTAGAAATTTATCAACAATTCACGAGTAAATCGGTGTAATAACTGTTTATTTATTCTTAATTCTTTCCATTTTTAGTTTCTTATATGCAGCCCTTACTCCCTTAGAGCTGTACATATCATTTTCCATTTGATTAAGTTAGTAATATGTAAATTCATTTCAGTATAAAGTAATTCAAGTAAATAAATTGTTGCAATTATTAATTAACGGATCAAAAAATTGACAACTCAAAATCGAGGATGATCCATACATTCATTAATCCATCCTAATCACGTGAAAGTAGTATATATAATTAAGTTTAGCTAGATTTGTGTGGGGGTATCATATCACTTATATATATAGTTGCCTGTTTATATGGGAATATATATACTAGTACGTGGATGAATGATCAAAAGTTGATGGCATTTAATTGATCGATCAATTGATTCAATTCCCTTTTTAAAAAAATAATTGTTATCATAGAAGTGAAGCCTAGCTACAATTTTGTCAGAGAATATTTGAGATCAGATAACACATGCACCAATCACTGACTGCCACTTACCCCCCTTATATTTATTCATGCATTCTTGGACAAACCTCTTCTCATGCGTATACTCTGAGTAGTGAGTAATTATAAGATCACACTTTGATACCTTCAATTACAATCCTCATAAAATAATTGCCAACTAGCTTTAAATGATGACTCCGTATACTCATTATGATCAATAAGTACATGTTGATCGATATTTATCATTGTGACTAGACCTCCTAGGACGAACTGAGTTAGTGAGCTAGGTTGGGTCAAAGCAGTAGCGGACCTAGAAATTTGACAAGGGGGGACAATTTCGATAATT